AATATTCTCTCATTCAGCTCATTCTTCTTCTCAGTTGTTGAATGCGTGAAAAACTGAAGGAAAGTCAAAGTTTTCTCGTCATCGAGAAAAATCCCATAAAACAACAAACACGACCTTGAGCCATCAGATGACTGTCGTGTGCAGTTTTCTCTAGGAGTGGGAATTCTTGTGAACTGTAGAAGATCAGGCGGACAGCGGATGCCTTTAGCCAGACAAGGCATCGACACTCCTCTTTAATTATTCAACTTTCAGCCAGATTTGAACACTGATTAAGGAGCTGAAGGTTTAAAGCTGTGACAACACAACAGTCATAAATAATCACATCACACACAGGCTTTCATCACAGTTAAGATTTATTTCATTCAACATTTCACATTACAAATATTTAAAAATTATGCATACTGTTATAAATAGTTGGCTGCAAACAATTAAATAACATTAGATTTTTCTTTTTCGTTTCACTAGCACTTCTACAGACCAACTCCTAGAAATATGGACATATCCGTATTACATAACTTAATTAGAAAGGAAAATACAAAAATAGGAACTTATAAAGTGAAATGACAATAAAAATTAAGGTGATATCTTAAGTAAAAAAATGCTATTAATAAATACAACAACCTTCCCATACACAGTTAAAAACTATTGAAATCTTGCCATTAAGTAACATCATTAACAGACAAATATTTAAATATTTATTTTCCTTCAGAAAATGTGAACCATATATTGTGGAGCACAATATAGCAATTAGTAAAAACTAGACACTTTAACATATTAAAAGCTTCACCTCAAAAATATAACAAAAATCTGATCAAAATTATAAAAATCAATTATACATTCCAATTAAAAATATACCAATAAACAGCTAAATACATTGTTGACCTAATAATTACAATGCAATCAATCACAGTAGCTTAAAATAAACAAAATAAGCAAATGAGCACAAAACCTTTAATGTTTTAAAAATAACTTCAATTATTTATATTAGTACAAATAGTTTGATTTCTTTTCTTTTTTACAAACACCAGCATGAAAAGGATTACAATAACAGTAGAAAATGACTGTGAAAAACATATTAACATCTTCTTTAATTAAATGTCTGCAATTAAAAATGGCATTAAAGAATTACATTGCAAAGAGTCTTTATCTGGAAAAAGGTTCAAAAGAAGTATTGCACATAACAACTTGAAGTTAACTTGCAACATTTACCACATTCAAGTCTTTAAGCTCCCCTTTCCTCCAGATAGGTCTATGTAAGATCACCTCGACAGACAGCGGGGACAGGTTCTCAAGTCTTTTTAAACAGTGTTCTCTATATAAAGGATGCTCAAAGTCCTGCACTGCCAAATCAATTCAAAGGTAGGTTTCTTTTATCTCTCTGTCACGTGCATCCTGCAGAGGTCTGCGAATGGGGAAGCGAGGAAATCGACACGTGGGGCGGGAACATGGGAAGAGGGGAAGAGGGGTGAGGTGAGAGCGGGTTCGGGGTGTCCTTAACTGAATAGTTGAGAAACATTTGGTGCACACCACAACAATTAATTGTAATAGCTAATTCATTGTACTTGTCATTTTCTTTTTTTTTTCGTCATGCATGCTAAGGATTACAATAGGTGCTAGTTGGCAAGTTCAAGAATATATATATATACTTTTTTTTTCAAATATTAAAATATCTAAACACCAAACATCCATTCTTGTGATACGAGATTCAGCGTTAAGCGTGAACCAAATTTTGCATTCTCCTTATATAATAAGTTATGCTCCATCTATGGAGAGGAAACCAAGACAGAAGTTACCATTTCCAACTAGTATAGCCATTTTTAGACACATTAACATCAATCCCAAATTATATTTCTTTCTTTCTTTCTTTTTCTCGCCATGCTCTTATTGACCAGATCGACTGGAAAACATCTAGTGTAAGAAAAGCTAAGACCAAGAGAGCGATACACTTTGGTCTCTCCTCTGCACATCTGAAGTCGCATCAACACAAGTGCGCACTTAGTTGTAAAGATTCCTCAGCACTGAAATGTATAAAAAGCATAATTGAAAATAATATATATTGAAATCACTCAACTTTTTTTGTTTTTCCTAAAATGAACATTTCCATATATGCAGATCTTTCAGTAACAAAAGTACAAAAGCTACCTTTCACAATGTGAAAAATTGAGGTATTGCAAAAAGGAGTTTCCCCATTTGTGAAAAATGTGCCTAAAATGACTGTTGGAAAAAGAAACAAAAAATATTTAGAAAAGTAGTGCATAATAAATGTTTATATGTGCATGACAAAATAATTTAGCTAGAAAACACTGTACCAAAAATCAGCAGGCCATGTATAAAATAATCTTTTTTTTTTCATCTCATTTAACAGCAAATTCTTCACAAAGTGTTTTAACTTCTAAAATGCTCACCCACCACACCCACAAAACTAATGTCCAGGGTGCAAAACTGGTGCCGACAACACCGCGCCGATATGAGGATTCTCACTAGTGTGTGTAATAATCAAGTTTCTGTACTAACTCCCTGACATTTAAATGCTCGGCTAATAAGGTTACCACTGAGTGACTCAAACAAAGGTAAGGATTAGTTTTACTTTCGCCGTGGGAAGGTGTACTTTTTGTGTTACTTTTCCCAAACGCACAGATCCATTTCAGATAAAAATAACTAGCGCCTAACTGACAACACACGCCTCCATTTTGAGCTACGGAGGGAGTGTGAGGCCTTGTTTGTATGTCTCGCAAGCCCTGTTTTGTCCCCCCCGCCCATACTGATGTTCTGATGGTTTTCACGGCACTATCGTTCATATGCATAATGCATTCTGTAAAGACGATGTTCAAGGCCAATCTTTGGTTCGCTGGAGTCTATCAGGGTTTGACAGTTAAGCAAAACTGGGTAGAAATCACAGATTTAGGAAAACAAAAAATATATATATGCAAAACGTCCTTGAAGAAAATGAAAAAGAAAAACCAAAACTTCCACACAAGTAACAAGCTACAGTATGACCCACTACTGCACAGCCATCTTTGGTTCCCAAAAGCCGCTGGCTACAGTCGACTGGACCTGCAATCTCGTTATGGAGAGCAAACTGCATGTGGGTCACAAGTGTGCAGTAGTAGAGCACACTTCAGAGACTATCTTCATTTATGCTTCAAAAACACTGGATGCTGAGTTGGATTAGCTTGGCAGGGACCTGGCTTCAAGGGCAGATCCCTACATGTGATGACGATTCCAAAGTCAGATAAACTTTTAATTGCTTCTTTCATTAAATGTAACTAACCCTTGGATGCAAAGTAAAACTTTTTTTTTCCATTAAAGACTTGGGAGAATTGCACAAATGCATTAAAACAAAACTAACACAGACAGGTATTTCCTGTTTGGTGGTAGCCCCATTAAAAACTGCAATACCGTCCTTCAGTGACACGTTGCCTTAACCTCGGTCCTGAAGGACGTGGATTCAAGCCTCGAGCAGGTTGTGATCCACGAATGAGGCCTTCTGTTTGTTAGCTGTAAGCTTAGCAGCAGAGGCCGCAGGCAGACACGAGGAGGGGATCTGGGGCTGAATTTCTCTCTTCACCACTAAGCCTGTCTCTCCTGTAGCCTCCCTTTACCATACATTCCAATAATACACTGTATACTTTACGATGCTCTGTCACTAGCACAACCCTGGGTTTGATTACAAAAATAAGGAGGTGATGAAGCAAGTTGAGTAGAAAACTGTGCCAGTTACATCACTCTCTGCCTGTTGTATCACTTCCCTCTGATTGTATTTCTGAGGAAAGGAGAACACCAGAGAGCGATGATGTTTTCTTTCTTGGTTTCTTTTTTCTCTCTCTCTCTCTCTGTATTCGGCACATTAGCAGCGGAGTTTGAGGTATTAGTTTTTGCATGTCAAAATGGAGATCGAAACCCTAATCAGTGTTGCTAAAATTTTGTTTAGATTTTCAAGTAACATCAAAATGTTTGTATGGTCCTGGAAATCATAACGAGAGGTTCGAACGTTTTTGATCTGGGAAGGGAAAACGAATCCATTTCGTTCTGCAGTGGGCTCTTTCTGCTCGTCAGAGTGAATTAAGATTCAGCTTTGGTAACTACTAAGGGTCTTACGTACTGTGTATCTTCAGTACTTAAACTGGAAATAAGTGCACTCTTCTTTAGCAACACCCTTTTTAATTCACATTTGCTCTGGAGCCTCAGCTATCAATAGCAAACTTAAAGTGCCCCTATTATGCCTTTTGGGTTCTTCCATATCCTTTAGTCTGGTGTGTGTGTGTGTGTGTGTGCGTGTATGTTGATTTTTTTATATATCAACTATATATAAAATACTGCTGTACTGTTTGAAACTGTCAAAGGTTTTTGTTTTGTGACTTATGTCACTAGGGGGGGGGGGGCCTTAAAGAGACAGGAGGCAAAACGGAGAGTTTCACACAGAGGGTTAAAGACAGGCACTGCAGCAGTGAACAGTATGACCCAAATCTTGTTTTTGGACTTCACAAAATCAATTTGAGTGAACACCCGCCTCCCTCACATGAAACACTGAGACTTTAAACATATGCAAATATGCAAAATAGGGGCACTTTAATCCTACCTCTCAGAAATAAATAGCCAATCATATTCTGTTCAAACAGCATTTGCTCTGGAGACTCGATACAAAATAAAATGTAAGAGCTCTGCTACAAAACAAGTCAGCTGAATGTCAAATGACAAGTATTTGTTTCGGGGCCTCTTGTATCAAAATTAAAATTAAATACACTGTTTAGAAAAATATCCCAATTAAAATAGCAGAGTACCATATCACACCTCAAACTTTTCTATATACGTTTTTTTTTTTTTTAGAACTAATAAAAATATTTTAAAAATCAAACATAAATAAAATCATATTACACATCTTTTTTTTTTGCTTCCTTGACATATCTGGATATAAATCCAATCTTTCTTTTCCGTCTTTAAATATTAATTTAACAAAAAAATTGCAAAAAATGTCGGGTGAAAGTGGAGCAAAAAGGAACCAGCAACAGAAAAGTGCATTTATTTGTACAATGATTTTGCGACTCCTGCACTACCTGCCCTCCTGCTCCTCTGTTGCCTCTCCCTCTCTAATTTCCGCTCAGTTCCAGCGGAAGGAGATGTGACGGGGTCGGTCGCCTCCCTCTTTCACCAGGGGTTTGTGAAACTCGCGGCCGGCGCGCGAATGGATGGCCGCCCAGCAGTACTCGCAATAATATTGTAGGCAGGTGACATTGGCGCAGAAGAACGGCGCAAACTTCCCACCGCAGCGAGTTCCCTGGCACTCATCGCACAGCTGGTCATCCAGCACATATGGCTTCACTTCCACCTGCAAAAGAAGTAGAAATAAATAAATAAATCCATACATACTAATAGCAGGGTGCAACGTGAGCCACAACAGGTGCTGCTTTTATTATTTAGAGTTGGAATCATTACAGTAAGCAGGAAAGAAAATATTGTTTTTAATACCGTGAATTAATCCAATCAATAATTCACTGCATTTACACCTCTATGTAACAGCCTTCATTGTTATTTGAGGGGTCTGCTATTCCACACGCATGAGTGATGCACAGGGGAGAGTGTATGTCTATAACCCAGCTTACTGTTACTTTGTAATTCCATCTTTCTGATACGAGTCTCACCGTTTACTTTTCCCTTTCCTACTGTTGCATCACGTTGTTTTAAGTTAATGTAAATAAAAAAATCCTGGGTGCCCTACTGCTGTAATTCTTTTCAGCAATTGTTCATTAAAAATATTTCCACAAAGGAAAAAAAAGGTCTCTTTTTTTTGCACTTGTTCAGCATTTCTTAACCACATTTGTTTTTATGACAAGCAATCTCAAGTGTCACAGAATCAGCCTGGGCTCAAAATTGAACTTTCATTCACTGCAGACACCACAGACCTCAATTTTGGCCACAATGCACAGTTTATTTTCATTATAGCTGATTAACAATCTGCTACGATTAGGCTGTTTTGCCTTTTCTACCATTTTTATTGGAAAAACATTATCTTGATTTAGCTGACAAATAATATGACGTGCTGAGTGGAATAGCCGAAGCTTCACTTTTGGTGAGGAAGACTGTAGTATCTTCTCAATCCGTTATTTACCAGTGATTAGCAGATGTGTGTGTGTGAGAGGCTCCATACTGTGGTGGCCTGAGAGACAAAAAAAAAGAAATCCAGAGTTCGAGACTGGGAGGAGACACAAATCCCTGTGGGCTTGTCTCAGGAAGGGCATCGCGATCCCTTGTGAATAAGGAAGCAGGTGTTTGTATGAGCTTTCCTCCTCCTAACCAAGCTAGCCAGGATTTGCTGTTAACTTAGCACCCCACACAGTGTGCTTTCTTTATTCAGTCTATGCTTCAACATACACAAATTAAACTAAAGATGCACTGATTGACCATCTAGTGACAGGAACTGGACCATTTTTATTGTTTGTGGCCCTGACTAGCAACGAGCAGGCCCAGTCCATGCATGTGCAACATGCACACAGTGGCACATGCAAATAGTTGCAGGTTTACTCAGTGTCACACGCAAACATGTCGTTAGCATGAAAGCTCTTCACTGTGAGTAAATACACAAACTTAGCCAAAGTGACCCATGAGAACGGGAATGACCACACAAACATTTTTAACAACAAAACTAATCAGATGAAAGAAGCTAACAAAGCCAAAGTGGTAAATGCTAAAGCTATCCAAGCTAACAGCCTCAGTATGAGCAAAGGATGTAAGCAGTTATGAGGAAAATTGTGAAGTCAGATGGGGGGGGGGGCCTGCATAAATGTGTTTCACTTGTTTTTGTTTATAAAAAGCAGAATGAATAAAAAGCCGAATAATCTCCTATTCCTGATCAGTATTCAAAAGAATGTTTAAAGTTGTTAATATCGCACTGCTGACTTCACCGTTATTAAAATACTAAAAATTTTCTGCATTTTAAACTTCCTGTTTATGACCTTTTGGAACACCTCTTGCATCTTTATCTTTCCTACTCACTGATGAATTACTGTAGTATTGGGAGGTGAACGTTACCAAGGCAGTCATTACACAAAATTTGCACAACATCACAATTATGCAAATCTTAAAAGAGCATACCATTACTCCAGTGTCTTATCTTATAATGTTACCTATACTGTACATGCATCTGCTGAGTCTCACGTTATCTTAACTCACCTATTGTCAGTAGAATTTGTGTCATATACAGTCCATCAGCATGCCTGTAGAGATTACTGTAATTCTTCTGCTGCTGACAGCGCTGGCTAAGTTACTGACAGTATTCTTATGAATTAAGGCTAATAAAAAAAATGTAATAAATAATAGACTGTGCACCATCTGTAGGGTTCCTGATACTGAAAGAGTGAGGCTCTGGAGTTCATAGCCTTTTTATAGAGAATAGTTTTCAGGTCACAGTAGGTATAGCACTGATAAATGAACTCAATGAAGGCCAAATTCCATTTAGATGCTTCACTTTCAGGGTTTTTGGTATTATGCATGCTGGTTCACTGACACATATGAATGTAAAAAAAAAAGGCAGTTGTTAACAAATTTGTACTCTTACTACTGAAACTGGTCAAAATAGCTCTTTTAACTGCTGACCAAAAAAAAAAAAACAGTCCACTCAGTTACAAAGTCTGAATTTCAGGCAGTTCTACAAGTAAAAATCTCAATTATTGCTTCAACAGGAGAGTCGTCATTAGAGCAGTTTTACAGCTTGCGAAGACATGAAAATCTTAAGCCCAGTTCAACCACACCAAGATATATTTCAGCTAAAAACATCCAATCATTTCTGGTGAACCTACATTATTCTGTTACACAAATCACTCTCTGCTCCAGTTACATCACAAACACAGCACGCCTATTATAACTACTCTGCCTGGATAAAGGTTAAAATGGATGTAAAATCTGAAGCTAAATTTAACAGCAGTCATTTATACTCTTCTGTTCATATGCTAGATGATTTCTGTATAAAATGACTATATTACTCCAGGAAAAACTGTTAAAACTTTGCATCACCTTTGCGCAACTGAAAGAAACACCACGAGTAAGAGCAGGAAGCAAGCTGAAGAAAGGAGGGGGCCGAGAGGGAAGACAGAAAAACACTGAGCTTTTTTTTTTTTCCCCTCTTTCCACTCACCCGTTTATCGATTTCTCCATGCTGCAGCTGTACAAAGCGAGCACTGATAGCAGCAATGTAGCTCTGCTGATTAGAGAAGGCGACCCGCCCCGCTCCCTTGGGGTACTTCAGCTCGGGGTCTGTGTCGATGCCAGCGTAGCAAACTCCACCGTACAGGCGGTCCATTATCATGGCCAACTCCACTGCAAAGAGGGAGGGTGAGGAAGACGCACACAAGAAGATCAACAAAACATTCACAAAAACAAGTCTGATGCACAGATGGAGACGGCACACCGACACAAAGATTGCAGGACACAGAAATCCAGCAATTACCTGTGTGGATACAGAGGTTCACATAAACTCATGCCAGTGTAACCAGAAAACACAAACACATA